ACCACTCACATTTTGAATGAGAAACTCATCGATACTGTTATTTTTCAAAGTTCGTAGGGATTTAATCCTATTAAAGTAATGGGAGCCAGCAGTGTTTCAAGCAGTTTTCACTGGTTTCCTTCGTTCAATTACACAGTTTATTACTAATACTATAACGATTGTGACTGTGTTGCGGAGTTGAATAATTGGATTATTAAAAAAAACTGGGATAGTCTGACAGGAGTTCACTCCCCAATCCAATTATAAATTATCATGAGTTTTACGATTATGTCGGTCATTACTTTATGATAATACATACAACAAGAATGAATACTGTAGGTAGGTAATATCAACATTATACCATGTGTAACCATCAGTAAATGGTCCCATATGCGGGACTGTGTATATCAGTACACTGCGGCCGGCAGAGCTGGTCCCAGTGCTGGGTACCCAGCAATCATATTCAGTTCCCCGGCAAAATGCCACTACAACATAATCGACACATTGAGTTTTCTATGGCAAGCCCAGCACAAACATAAATGATGAGACTGTAATGGCCAATTATCGACATTGGTTACATACTATCAAGGTAGGGGTAGGGGTAGGGATTTTAGGGGTTCAATAGATCTGAAAATTCTAGTAACTCTATATTTTATAATTTTACCCCTCTCATATCAAATCATATCAAACAGACACATACCAGATTGCAAGTAAAACATGTATGAATGACACAATATCTTCTTAACCTCTCTCTTCTTCCATGATGAAGTTTCTCAGAGTGACTGCTTACTAGCTATTTTCCACATCTACATCTTATTCGAATAGCATTATTCCTTCAAAATGGAACATTCGTTGCGAAGTAGGTAATCCTGAAATATAAAATTCTTTATCAGTTATTATCAGAGTGGCCTTTCTTGATACCAGAATTCTTCCTCTATAGGAGTAACAGTAACGAAATACTGTTGCATGAGTTTATATAACTTGATCAATATAGTCTGATAACGTGATAACTTATGGAGCTTTGCATTATTTTTTTGGCACAGTCATTTCTGTAGTTTGAACCTTATTATTATTTACTTATATACAGGTTTACATAACCTAAGATCACTTTTAATAGCAACGAATGAGTTGAACATTATTATATAGTTATGCTTCTGGAGAGATAAAGCCCTTTCAATTAATATGATCACTCAAGGTATATTAGGTTATGAGAAACCAAACACATTTCATGATGAAAGATGGAAGATGACATTCGAAACACTAGATAGGTAGATTGATACTTACTCAATATTGTCATAATTGAAGAATCCATCTTCTACATTATCAATTGGGAATAATCCTGCCATCATAAATGACGGAAAAGTGAGTAGCACATTATAATTCAACAACAAACCAGAGAAAAACTAAACAGACCCTATTACTAGAGTCACATATAATAATTATCCAAAGGATCAGGTGATTGTTGATGTAGACGTTCCTAGAACAGGGGGACAATAAGTAGTGAACAGGAAAGGGCCACAGCTCGTTACTGTTCAACTGGTTCCAGACATCTTACCATCACAAGGCCATCATCATATTTGCAACTGATGGTCACTTCAGCATAGGAAAATCATCGGCCCATTACCAATGACCTGGCATCGTAGTTCAATGTTTGCTGGGGTTCCTTATGCCTTGAAACCTTTGATATCTGGTAACATGACTTCCGATGATATTTTCAACCATTTTGGTTTTCTCTTTTGCCTCCATAGTTATTACCCCAAAAGTCGATCAATTCCACTATAAACTAAACAGATTGTATGAGAGATTCTAGTCTAAATTAAACTGGAAATAATCGAAATGATTGGTTTTAATGGAACTTTGAATAATATTATATGGAAGCAAGTTCGCAATATAGTTGTCAACGACTGACTGCTCGAATTATGATTTGCGTAGCTGGACCCAGTCTCCGAGGAGGTGATGAAATCATCAACGGCGGGTTCTTGATAGCTAACAGATATATCGACTCGCAGTTTCTCCAAACTATCCACATTTAATAGCATTCTGCGAAAATGTAACATATGTATTCATCTTGAGAAATAATGAAGGGAATCCGCTTATACTCCATTGATTAGATTCTTACATTCATTTCACACTCAAACCAATATGACCGATTCAATTCCCAATCTTCAATTGCAATCACTGAACAATTGGCTAATAATGCAACAATCGTGACCTTATTTTTAGTGGAATATTTCATTCATGTCATGTTCGAAGCTTATAATCCCATTTTATTTTCCATTTGGGCACACCTCCCCTACCTGCCGTTGGGTTTACCAACTCCATCGTTGGTAAAGGTGGTTAAAGTTGAATTAGAATATTTGTTTCCAAATGATGAATGTGAAAAATGGAGGATTTAATGGGGACATTCAGATTGAAAATGAATGAAGTAGATATCGAAGTAGAGATACGCGGGAAAACTGTAGTAGTGGGTAAAGTGAAAGAAATATAATTTCAAAAATAGTTATTGTCTCCCACAACCTTCACCGGAATACTCTAACCAGGTTTAACGGGGAATGTGAATGAAATATTCCTCACATTACCGGCCATGTTTGAAGCAGATATTCCCATTTCATTATGTCTAATCGTGACGTCATTTCCGTTTTGGTACACCTCCCCTACCTACCATTGGGTTCACCAACTCCATCGTTGGTAAAGGTGGTTAATGTTAAACTTGTTTTGTTTATGTGAAAGATGGAAGATGGAGGATATGGAAACACTAGAATTACAAATCAATAGAGTTGATGTCGAAGTACGAGATAACACGGGCAAATGTAAATGAGCATGTTATAAATATATATTATAAATAAAAAACAGTGTAAAGACTCAATTGCGTTAATTATCTTATTTTTATAGGTAGGTGTGAAGATGTCTCGGAAGATGTAATTATCACCGGGCTTAATGAAAACTATTCCTTTCATGAACAATAACATTCCTACAGGTTATAGTTCAAAATTACTTTGACTCACATGTGATGATTGAATCAAAATAATAATGAGGATTATTACTGGGCTGAATAAAAACTATTCCTTCGATAAACATAAACAATAGATAACATTCTTAGGTTATAGTTGAGTGATGACACCAAATATTAGCGTCTATTGACAGGACGCAACAAATAAGAGAGAGTCAAGTCTACAGTAAATTTCCGGCAGTGAGCTTCAAAATTCATCAAAAATGAGCACAATGAAGGAATGTAGAATCACTTTGTCTAGTGAAATGTATCAATTTCTCAATCAGTGCAAAAATAATCTTCCCAAATACAATTATTCGAGCCTCAAATTTCAATTGATAATTTTTTATTTTCATTACTCAAACTTTTTCATTTGAGGCAGAATCATTCGAACACATATACCTGATTATATGAAACCACTCGTCCTACGAACTCGTGATTTTATCAATCGGTGTGTTTTCATATTTGTGCCAAATGAAAAATTTTCGTAGGAAATTGAAAAATCATCAATAAAATTTGAGGGACTTATGGTATTACCTCTGGTAATTCGTCGTCGTGGTTCGTGAAAGAGATCATGCAATAATCATTTTCAATGAACCCTTACAGAATACAGTCGATGTACTTCTAATGGAAGCACTAACTATACAGTACCCATCATCAAATATGAGTAGACCAACAAATGCGCCTCTGAAAAAGACAATCGACATGTCTGAGCTTTTTCCCCAATGGTATCAAAATTATAACGAATAGCACGGTTGGTGTACCCATTAAAAAAATAGTACGTATTTTTATACAAATTTTTTGTGCCTACCTATAACTAGTATTATATACTTACACCTATTTTTATTCTTTCAGTATCTTTTGTATTTTTTTGTTGTTGTTTTACGTATTAAAAATATCAACCTTATCGGTAAGCCGTTCTGTAGTTGACGTACCGACATCAGTGCCACCTACCACATCCGATTGTATTTTTAAAGCATCCAGGAAACCATCGAAATACCCATATAAAATTTCAACCCAATCGGTTCAGCCGTTTAGAAGTTACATGAAACAGATAAGTACGGAAGGATATATCTTACTACCGGAGCATTTTCCTGCGGTGAAAAGTAGCTTTTGTTCATCAGGGATAATGTCGGCTTCTAATGGTGGAAGAATTTTTTTGAATCGGTCCAGTTGTTTTGGAGCCTATTCAAAACAAACAAACCAACCTTTCCTTTTTAAATAGAAGAACTTTTTGAATCGGTCCAGTAGTTTTGGAGCCTATTCAATACAAACAAACCAACCTTTCCTTTTTAAAAAGAAGAATATCAGTACAGATTTGTTCCAAGTTTTACGTGCTCACTATACCTATAGACAAAATCAACCGTGCGGTCACCTGATTTGAAACATGGTTACTATTAACTACGAAATAGCCACAATGCTCACAGTGGAATGAAATGTTAAATAAATGTAAAAATCTCAAAGTCATTTCCACACAGTGTTCATAAAATAAACAACAATGGTAGATTTCGGGAGAACAACAACTACTTCCCTGGCTAATTCCACGCAGGATATTGAACTACATCCTCCCGAAATCTATGCATCGACTCGTATAAACGAATACTGATACAAGTGATTATTTCCTGAATGCCCATTGATTTCGATTAAGCCAGGCCGCTAGACAACCACAGACCGATTTCGAGCTCTTTGACTCTCATCAGTGCAGTGTAGTCTCCAGCCAGCAGTCCTATGACCGCCGACTCAGCGAAGCCTAGCCAAACAAAAATCAAGTTGGCATTATATCCACCCCGAGGCGTCTTTCATCGATAAAATGAAAGTAACGCCATCTGAGTAGAACCGAGGAAAGAATCACTTGGTTACTATTGGTTATTCAGTAAATTTGATGATGATAACTCGAAATGTGCTATCGGATTAATCGAATGTATACAGGGTCATCAGAAACCTACCATTGTTGTTCATTTTATGAACATTGTTTTATGTTTCATTCCCTTTGAGCATTGTGGCTATTCAGTAGTTGAAACTATCAACTCACCTGCACTTCCGAATCCAGAAGACAGCAAGAGCAAAGATCCCCAGTCCAATGAACACACATGATGCTGATACCTGGAAAGGAATTGAAGAAAATTGTTGATTATTGAAAATTGAAGAACGTTCTTTAACTCCCTGTCCGAGAAACTTCAATGATAGAACGATACATCTAACTGAAAACAAACAAAATACGCCGCAAGAACAACCATCAATAACAACGAATAAAATACCAAACATTTCCAGCTCATTCAAAAGAATTCAGATAAAAGGATGGAACATGTTTGGTGATAGTTTTGAAGTGAACAGTCCGTTCAATACTGCAAACGTGATCAGTTCTCACTCAAACAAAAACAAAAAAACATCAAAAAATAGTATATCCGTTTTGCTTGTCGATAGTATATTGGTGCAACAAAGAGACCTCTCTCAGTAAGAAAAAAGAACAATATAAAGAGATGACATCGGTACATCGACGAATAAAAATTAACCTCATATTAAAACTGACTGCATATATATAATTTATATGGATAACATCTGGATGAATTCACCACGGAGGTGCCAACAGGTTTCCAGGTCAATGAATAGAACTGGTGGATCATTCCACTCAAGTAGTCAGGTAGTCAGCAGAGTGGTTTACTTGTAGTACCACTCTGTAGCGTGTAGACTATAGATGGCAGCGTCATACAATTTATGGCGTGATCACGTGATTCTCCCTGAGAACTATGCCACTAGATGACGATAACATGACTAGAACATGTTTCATCCGGCGTCTTCGAAATGGTTGATATACTCGAAACGAGTTGTCCCAGACCGAGAGCGGCTGATGAGGCCTGGTGGATTGAAACAGTACTGTTTTACTCCTGCTGACTTATGTGTGTAACTCTGTTCATCCTAGATTTTTTAGTTATGAGATCTCTAGACTATCTGAATTTCAAATTATACCTATAAATCACAACTGCATATTACCTATAGCCTGCTGCAACAATTGTTAGGTGGAACCAAAGACTCAAATCTGAGGTACCAGTAGACTGACAGGACTGAGACTCCATGATGTAGATGGTAACATATTATCAGATTGATGTTCTCGAAGAAGAATATCAGCTATTTCGATTTGATGAGATCGCATACCTTATACACTCATATAACTTCCTATCTATTCCCTTGTTCACTTCACATCTTACAATAACAAATGAACACTCATGCTCAGAAGGATAGAGAAAACAAAATGGAAGACCTATGGAAAACTCATCAATTGTCCTTTCATTGATGACTTTATGACATTGGGGAAGCTATATTCTTTGATCATTGTTCAACTAGTATACTGTGAAATATATTATACCAATTTTTTCCCAATTCCGCAAAAATAGTGTTGTCCAAATTCTCATAAATCCATAGGAAATATACTATTGATGCAATGAATTATTGATAGCAATGAATATGTACTGTTATATCAACGAAAAAGTGTTGCAGCAGTATGCCACCGATTAAATCAATGGGCCATTGTATCGCCATCTATGTCGTGTTTGCTGGGATTGTTCCAAATTTCATGTGTTGAGACAAATAACTCTAGTTCGGTTTTGTTAGGAGGAGAGGGGGCTTCACTTTGCCTTATTACGATACTATATTGAGAAGTACATACTTCGAGGGACTGAGAAGATATATAAGTTGGTATCTAGTCGAAAAACTGTTTCATATTATGAACCCTTAAATCATTTTTCAAAGCACTACCATGAGCCCATAATTGGCATCCCACATCAGCGGTTTCTTTTTTGATCTGAGATCCCACTAATGAAGACATACAAAAATAATCAGTTTCAAGCACACTAATGGATATGGGAAGGGACAAAATGCTGCCTAGAAATAACTATTACAGACCCTTCAACACTCAGCTCTACTGGGATGAAATGGTCTTGACTAACTGTCAGGAAGGCACGTTAGTGTGGTACACTGACGGTTCTAAGACTGATGAGGGCACGGGAGCCGGAATAATATATGGAGATAGACCCAGAACCAGGATGTCTGCTTCCTTGGGGAGGTATGCTTCAGTATTCCAGGCAGAGGTGCATGCTATTGAGGCATGCCTGAGAGAGAATATTGTAAGAGGATATAGAGGTAAACAAATCCTCATATGCTCAGATAGTCATGCAATAAAATCAGATCAAAACTGGATTGCCTTCAAAGCCTGCTAACCCTGGCTAACCACAACAAGGTAACTCTCCAATGGGTGCCAGGGCATAAGGGAATTGAAGGCAATGAAGAGCAGCTGACGCTCTTGCCAGGCAAGGATCTGCGCGACGTTGTTTATGGGACCGGAACCTGTATTCGGTATCCCCAAAACCTCAATACGCGGCTGGCTGGCAAGGTGGATGCAAGAAAGACATCAGGCATACTGGAACAATGTCCCAGGACAAAGACACAGTAAACTGATGGTTGGAACACTGTCCAAAACAGTGACTAACGACATTCTGAGCCTAAACAGAAGTCAGCTCAAACAAGTGACGGGACTAATAACCGGTCACTGCTCCTTGAGGAAACATATGCATCAAATGGGCATCTATACAGACGAACCCATATGCAGACTATGCAATGAGGAGGAGGAAACTGCCACCCATGTAATATTGGAGTGCGAAGCACTAGCGCGTTGGAGATACAACCTTCTGGGAGCAGTAAACTCTCAAGAGGCATTTTCAAAGAATGATTTGGTGAAGAGGCTGCTAAACCTCATCAAGGTAGCGAACCTGTTCACCTAAGTCAACAGCATGATCAGGAATACAATATGCCCAAAGGTTGCAGTGTTTTGGGCTTCAAACCCTGACTGATCATTCTGCTATTAATCAATCAATCAATCAATCAATGAAGACAGTTTTAATCATAATTGGCACCAGGTGTTTCAGTATTTCAGTAAAACATCAACTGTTATGAATGTTATTATGACGAGTGTGTTTCACTGTCCCATGAACAAAAAACGGAAGGACAAGACATGAGGAAGCTCGAAGGACTCTCACGACCAACAAGCTTGAATTACAATTGGTTAAGGCACCTGCGCAGTGTGTATCAACTTCAGCACTGCATGTATTTGATCTCTGTTTCGGGGTCTCGTTGTAGAGATTATCAGAGCCGGCTCCACTGTAATCTCATTACCGATCGTCTTTCAGCGATTTATACGTTGTTTTTATCTGATGTGTTGTGTCTAACGTCTATTTTTACTATTTTATTTGTTCATCCACTGTTTCATGTTTCTTGTTATACGGCATATTGCTATTGCAGTAACAGCGATGATTTATGATACGTTTCAAATTATCCAAGGCCGCCAAGTACGATATATGCAGGTCGCTACGTTGTGCCCATATTTCATAACTCCTTCATCGCGTTGTACCAACATTTTGATAAACCCACATTCTCCGAACATACCCGGAAGATGCACTGATACCAAATGTATAGGTGTAACACGATGTGTCGATAGACCCACAGTGTCTGATGGTACAAGCGTCTAGCTATATCATTTACCCCTCTGAAATCCGAGGACGTAATGAGGAAGGAAAATATCCTTCCTACATAAGAAAGGAGACTACTTCATCTAAACAATCTAACCTAACACGGCCTAAATGAACCTTCTTCTATTTGTGCTTCCTAGGTCAGTGTTGTGTTTTGATATGAATATTGTGTTTACAACTTCAGAATTATTATTAATCACAAAAATAACCCCGCATCATACGATGAGCTATCAGCAGGAAGATAGAAACATTAATTGATAAGATATATCAGATTTTACAGTGAAAATAGTTTCAATCTAGTCACCAAGTTTGTTTGTTCATTTTTCTTCATTGAATAGTAGACAATCAGAACCATTATCCTGAGATTCTTGAAACATAATACTGGAATTGATTTATAAAGAATTCCCTACGAACAGCCTGACACCTATAAAGGGATTAGGTGATAATTTGATTAAAAGTGAGTACATAAACAGAATACGTTATGGTAGATTGAAACCGTTTTATCAATTTGAAATCCCTAGGATGGACTAAGCTTCAGATCAATGATATACACGTACCATTCAACACAGTACGTACTTATTTCTTTTTTATTTTTGATGCATGTTCCGCAAAATGAACAGTTATTTATTATACAAGAGGAAAAATAATCAATTTCAGCACCTGATGGTGTGTGTTTGTCGTTTGTATATCACAAGAATCAAGTGGTATAATATGTATATTGAAACACATAATATGCTAGGTTTTTCGGGATTCCTTTGTGCACTCCAAAAGCCGCAATCTCCACTGGTTATACCTTCAGGGAATTCCTCAAGAATATATTATAAGTCTTGGGATTTTAAGTTTATCAACAATCGTCAGTGGGACATAAAATAACTTTTTGATTTCCAGCTGACCAATAGACGTTGCAAATGGCAGACCTCTGTTTTCTCTCTATAAACACCTCATGAATGATGATTCACCCATGCTGGTCCTTTGTTTTCATCAGAGATCGTCTCATCATTGCTGCTCCTAGCAAGTTTGCGATGAAATTGCGAAAATTTTGTTCGAATTCATTCCATCACTCCGAAATAGAGAACTTCCCCAATCTAGTACAATCCAAATCCGAATGTCTTGGGCCTACAATAATTATCCTTGAGACGTTCCATCCCGTACGTCTCATTCAATATCCGAGAAGGGACGTCCATGGATCTCCGAGCTGGAACATCATTTCAAATGTCCTACAAATAGCATCCTTTAAACCTCCCACGTGGTATTTATTGTAAAATGCCCATGCAAGGACATCCTTAGCATGCCCCTGATGGGATATAATTTCAAAGGTTCCTTTAGGAACATGCATCGGATGTAGTACATTTTCTGGCATGACTTCAGATCTCGTATAATGTCCCTTCTTGAACAATCATGGAATATCCCATACGTAACATTTCTTCAAATATGGGTACATGAACTGTTATGACTTTAAAAGGAACTCCTATAGATAATCTATATGTCCATCTGAGTAATGATAAGTACAAGAATATTCTTCAGGAAATATAATTTTATAAGATGTCTTGAGTACAACGTCTTTGGACGTCCCAAGGACGTCCTCA